TGCTCCGGCGCGCTGCTCAGGGAGCGACGGTCGTGTGATATATGGGGTGAGTGAACGAACAACAAGGATGGTGCTCCGGCGCCTTGAAAATCAAGGGTCGTATGATATATTGATGAATGGATTTTCCTTACAACCTAACACTACTCCTAGGAAATCAAGTAAAGATATTGAAAGTGCATTACAGGAAAAAATAAGTTGCTCCGTGGGAGGCTTTGTTTTGGTGTTGAACCCTTTGAATGTAGCTCGAGCCTTGTATTTATAGGGAGAGTCCCTGGAGGAGTAATCGAGGCTGAAAATCTGCGTGGTTGAGCTTGATTAGAGCAAGTGGGCAGTCCAATCGACATTTGGGATCGTGAAGTATGGTGGTGTGACCCCTGAAATCCTGGTGAATCTTGGCCGCCGCTCTCGATCGTGGGTTCTGAACTTCTGGCCGTGGAGACGCATTTATGGCCTGGATAGCTGGTGAACCAATATCTCAAGCTGTCAGAATTCCTTGTGAGAATGTCCACGTCTAATCACTCTGATTCGCATCACCAAATCCTGACTTCAATCACTTCCCACCTTCCCTCATGCATTAAATGCTTCTTCGTGGCCAGTGGGTTTGCTGTATTAAACAGGCACTACTTCATTAAATGAAGCATGGGACCCTGTGATCACGTGGTGATTTGACCTGACTATCCTCGGCCATGACCCTTCTCGGCCTTCAGTCGAGGCCGAGATGTCCGTGCCTTAGCAATTTCCTTTGATTTTCAGAAGGGCGAAGTATCCTGGCGAAACGCTGCGTTTCAGCTTTTACGAACAAGTGCCAAGGCCGAGAAAAAGGGGCTCCTTCGGCCAGCTCACGGCCGTGATTTATTAGGCACAAACATTGCCCCCACATCCCTGGATTCTTCGGCCTCGGCATGGGTAGGGGCCGAATGGATTCCAAGGGATGGACCCTTTGCATTCCCTTCTGAAGTGATTGACAACTGGGGCATTAAATGCGCACGTCAGTCGGCCCATTTAATGCTTTGAAGCACGTTGTGTCGGCCATCATTGCCCAGGGCGTCGCTTCGTTTTGTCAGAGGAAACGCCGGCCTCTGGATTTTCGACGTGTCATCGTGCCCTTAATTTGCACGAGCCATCATTTTGCCCTGCTAATCGAAACGTCGGCCACCATGTCTCTGTCATAATTTCGCATGCTCCGAGTGTGCTGTCAGGTCGTTTCATCTTTCGAGAATCATACCTCTGTGTTTTGAACTCCAACGCCAGTATAAAACCCAAAACTCCTTCGCATTTTCCTTCGTACTCCAAAGATTTCTGAGTTCATTTTCTTCGAAAGTCCATACTGACTTTCCTCAGTTTTTTCAACCCTCGTTCCTCAAACTCGAAACTCCTTTATTATCCAGCGAACCCCCTTCTTGCTTTAATCGCTCTGGAATCCTTCTTTGATTCCTGGGCTTCACCCACCCTTATTTCAAACTGCTCTGATGACCCTCATCGCAGCTTCCTAAAAAAAAGGGAATCAGACCTGCTGAGTCTCATGACTTGGCAATTTGGCCTGGGCCAGATGACTTGGCAGTTTGATGAGGGCGAGAGGATCTGGGATGATGACCTCGACGTGGCCGATTTTATGCGGCTGAATACTCTGGTCACATCCATGGCCGGAGTGACGGCCCTCACCATGGCTGGAGTGAAGGCTCCTACCATAATTGGAATGACGACCGCTTACCATGTCCAGAGTGATGGCCGCTACCACGGCCTGAACGACGGCCGCTGCCACTGCCGGAATGGCGACTGCTTACCACGGTTGGGGTTGCAGCTGCCCTCCGTGTCCGGAGTGTCGGCCCGTGTGCTTTCCACGGCCTGGAGCGAAGCCTTGGCTTTAGGCTGGCCATGGCTGATGGCGATGTAGGTGGCGGAAGCCCTGCCTTGGGGGAAAGCGTCTGATTGTCTGACAAAAGGACCAAGGAGCCGAAGCGCGTAGATTTAGGATGCAATTTTTCTTATGTGTGTTTGTACTCGGCCAGGACCTGGCCGTCTCCTTGTAAACGCACCCCCCTTTTTAACCCAAATGAATAAAATGAAGTATGATTTCCTTTAGTCTGTCCTTGTCATGTTGCATACTCCACTTTGATATTTGCGCATCTCATAACTTTTTTATGGCCGTCTCCCACAACGATGGGGTATATCTCTTCAAATATTGGCCGTTGATCGGCAAGTTGTGCCATTCCCCATCTCTATCTTTTAACTGAAATGCACCTCGGCCGAGAATTCGTTCAATAATGAACGGCCCTTCCCAATTGGGCGAGAATTTGCCGAACCGAGGGTCTTTTGTCCCGATAGGGAGCACAGCTCGCCATACCAAGTCCCCTTCGGCGAAGGACTTTTGCTTGACTTTTTTGTTGTAGGCCCTCGCCGCAATCTACTTCTGCGCCTGCATTAGGTTACAAGCATCGAGCCTTGATTGTTCCAAATCTTCTAATTCCTGAGCCATGGCTTGCGCATAGTCCTTCCTTTTTTGTTCAGGTTGTTCTTGTCGGTCGGCCGTCTGCATCGTGGCCGGTAAGGACAACCCACCCAACGTCGTCGTCATAAATCCGAGCTTGTACGGCGTTGGCCTCAAAAGGTTTTTCGTCGGCCGGGTGTATAGACACCTTCTGGCCGTCCCAAAAGAACAATAATTGGAAAAGGGAGGACGGTATACACCCGGACTGGTGGATCCAGTCGCGGCCGAGCAATATGTTGTAGTCGACGCTAGACTCGACCACGTAGAAAGCCGCGACTCGCGTCTGATCGGCCACGGTAATTTTTAACGGCAACACGCCAATAGTTTTAGACTTGTCGCCGACGAAGCTGCTCATGACGACGTCGCTGGGGATGAGGTCCTCCTTTGACTTAGGTATACCCCCGGACTGGTGGATCCAGTCACGGCCGAGCAATATGTTGTAGTCGACGCTAGACTCGACCACGTAGAAAGCCGCAACCCGCGTCTGGTCAGCCACGGTAATTTTTAACGGCAACACGCCAATAGTTTTAGACTTGTCGCCGACGAAGCTGCTCATGACGACGTCGCTGGGGATGAGGTCCTCCTTTGACTTATCCAGTTTCCTCATCAAGGAATACGGAAGGATGTTGACCGTCGCCCCACAGTTGACGAAAACCTTAGACACGGGCACCCCCTCAACATGAGCCGAGATGTATAACGGTTTGAGGTGTCGATATTTGTTCGGCTCACTTCTAGGTATGACCTCGTTAAATGCTACGGCCAACAGTTCCTCCTTTGTTTTTGGCCTCTGACCAAGCTGCTCCTCAGCCATATCATCATCCAGGTCGTCGGTCTGCCCTCCTGGGGCTGAGAACTTGGATGGTAACACCAAGACCATGTTGATGCCGAACTCTTCTGGCTCCCGCGGGTTTTCCCTGCCAGCCTCTTCATCGGCCTCACAGCCGTCTTCGGCAAGAACCGTTTCCTCGACCATCCCGAGGATCCCCTCATATTCCTCATGCCCGAAGAGAGGATCTCTGAAACCCTCGTCCATAAGCCTCATGGCCCTCGGGCTATTGGTTGTGGACGCTTTGACCTCAGGGGGTTCTGAGGTTTCGACCTCCTCTTTGAGGGCGCGTCTAACCTCTGCCAATGCGTCCCTGGCCGTCAGGTAATCGTCTAGGCGGCTTACTCGGCCCTTTTCCTCGGTCGTCAGGCCGAAGAAAGTGTCTGCCGGCATCACAGCAAAGTACAAGCGAAGATATTCTAGATCGCCCTTACTGAAGGGGATTTTAGCCTCTAATTCGCTGAGGTTGGGCTGGTGACTTGGCAGGCCTCTTGCTCTGGCCTCCCTGTTCGCCTAGTATACGGCCTTAATGGCCGAGTCAGAAACGCTGGTGATGAGGAGCGCCTCTGCCTTTGTGTTTTTGAGGGCCAATTCCACGATTTCTCGGCTCTCAGGGGTCAGGCCGTACAGGTCCGTGGCCGAATGGTCCCTATGAAATTCCTTGAGAAAGGACAGGCCATTGGCCGAAAAAGGGGGATCTCTTCCACGGTAGATGTCGACGACTCGCTCGTCTGCTCCTCCTGGGGCCGCGGCCTTTGGCTGAACCAGAGTGGCCGCTGATCTAGGGGGCCCTCGGCCTGCCTAGGGCGCCACGTCCTTAGAGGCTTGGTATTGGCCGCTTTTGCCGG